AAAATCTTCAGTACATACTCCTTGTAGAGATTATGCGAGTTAAATAAATCTAAATATAATGCATGTAATACACATATGGATAAGTATAAAAGTCAAGAAAATTATTATCAAAAAAAGCAGGCCAAATTACATGCAAAAATTGCTATGTTTGAGAATCTACCTAACTTATCTAATTCTGAGCACGAACTTTAGTCAGTAGACAGTTATAAAATTAGGTGAAATATCTTGATATACTACTATAGGAAATTTTTCTTGGCAAAAGTGATCAGCGTGACAATTTGTCACGCAGAATAATTTAGATGTTTCCGTGATTTTTTTCTCTGGCTTCGAGCATATATGCGAGAAGGCGGGAATGAAGTAATTCTTATATACAAAAGCAACAAAACTCAATGTCATTTTATCATTGCCCATATATTCATAGAACTGGAAAAAAATCTGAATTATTCCACATGGGCATTGTTCACGCCGATTACTTGAGTAAGGCATGTATTTGGCATCTATCGATTATTTTTTTGAGGATCTCTTTGAGTAATACTATATCCTCCTTGATACCTTCTATATTTTCAGCAATTTTATTACGTAAAGCTATGGATTCTAAAACCTTTGATCTATTCCGTGGCTTACTCATATCCATTTTCCGGTATAATTACTCTAACCACGATCCATTCAATTTTTGGGTATAATGATCCGTGGATAATTAATTTCGATTTGAAAAAAGAATCTCCATAGTATATACCTGAGGTATTTATAGTATATACTCAAGATATTTATAGTATAACGATCATCTTATATTACCATGGCAAAAGTCGCTACAGAATTTTACAATCGCTACAAATTGTCACCCCAAACTAGCTTATCCCAACTTAGTAATTACATTGAAGAGTTGGCCGGTAAACTCTCAGATGGTAAGACAAAAGAGTAGGCAGGAAGAGCCAGAGATCAAGCTAGAAGACGCTTTCGGAAATTGGGTCTTAGTGAAGAGCAGGTATACACTCTTATCCCTAAACAGGCATCCGGGCGACGTGTAGTTGGAAGAAATCCCATCAAAGTTATAGCAGAAAATATTATGAAAAATGATATTTCACCCGAAAAGATAAATGAGATAGCAAATGATTTGGTTAATACTGCTCCAAATGTTGTTGCTGGTGCCTCGCGCCTTACATATCTTCGAAAAGAATTAGAAACTCTGGGTGCTGATAGTCCTACACTAGAATCAACAAGCATACCTCAGATTACCAAAGAATCACAGAAAAAACAGAATGAGCATTACGAACTTAATGAAGACAAAGGTATGGATTGCCTCGAATTCTTTTACTTAGAGAATGTTCAGGATAGACTTAGTAATTGTGATATTACCAAACCTCCTTCCATGCAGAATTTGATCGATGTAATAGTAATGTTATCTATGAGACCAGCAGATGTTGCAACTCTTTGTATTGATTACTATCCACTGAGTTATGAAAAATAGTATGATCCTAAATATTCTTGGTATTGCACTGGCTACGCCAAAAGTCAAATTGATGAACCTTTACCATTCTTTTCAATGGAAAAGGATCCAAAAAGAGCAATAGAACTACTCACCTGGATCCAGAAGGTAATTCCAAAGACTTTTCCATTTCTGTTAAAAAGTGAAAATGGTTATGTAAAAGTTTACCCACTTAATCGATTTCTAGCTCCTCATAGTATTATATCATATCATTTAAGAAAAATAGGTGCTGATCATGCATCAAGAGTCCATGGTGGTAGAAATGATTCTTGTCGTCAAAGATATCGAGATTTAGCAACACGACATAAAAAAGGATATAGAGCTACAGCACGGCATTATGATGTGATAAATGACAGACCAATTATTTCACCTAAACAAGAAAATGACGAGATAGAGAGTATCATTGACCTATACAATTACTAATTACACTTATTTGATTTTCTTACATGTGTATTAATATTATTATCGAAACCAGGTTCGGATTCAGACCCAGATGTCAGACTCAGATTCGGATGATGTTTCAGATGAAGAATCATTAGCAAATCTAGCACGGCTAGCTTTTTTCACTTTACATTGTATTCTAGCAATATCTAGATTCACTATCGAATTTATAATATCTTGCTGAATCTCGGGTTTCACTATCTCTAGTAATTGGCTGAGAGAAATCTGAATTTTTTTACCCAATACTTGCTTAACAATACCGGATACCACACTATTATTATTCTGGGATTCGTGGAAACTCCCAATAACCTCCGCTTCCAATTTTTTAGCAAATTCTTCGGTTATAGTTGACCAGTTAGTGTCTGAATCGGTAGTAGGTTTAGTCATTGTCGATATCATAATATTATTTATTAATATGCTGGAAAAAATATATTATTGAATATATATTATTAAAAATAGAACTATAATAACAACTTTATCCTGCGAAATCAATAAAGTACCAGTTACAGCTATATTAGATTCTAGTACTAATTGCAATATTATAGGTGATGAGGTAGTAAATGAGGTAGGTTTGAAAATTGATAATAATGATATATCCGATGCAGAAATATACAATCCCATTAATAAGCTCGATGTAGTAGGGGTAATTCATGAAATAGAGATTTCAATCCTGTCGAAAGACCATAAATAGGAACAAGTAAAAGTTACTGATGTTTTTGTTGTCGATTTTCCTGAAAAGTCATTGAGATTGGATGACCCATGGCTACAGTTAAATGAAGCAAAAATAGATTTCGTTAATAAAAATCTTACATTACTTGATGATGTTGATGTACCATTAGTTGTTAAATCAGAAATCCCAGCACTAGTGCAAGGCTAAGCGAAATTAAGAATATCTGGAAAATTCAAAGTGATATATAATGTCCATAGTATCCACTCCTAAAAATTAATTATCTAAACATTAGTTATTTTTTCACGGTAATATACATCATTAAATATACTTAACATGTTTATAAATACCCTTGTTGAAGGAAAAATCCCGGTCAAAGCATTAATAGATATAACATCTAAATCTAATACTATTAGCAAACACTTGTTCGATAAGTTTGAATCTGATCACAGATTAAAATGTATAGTTGGTGATGATCTGATAGGTGAAGAAATAAAATGCTTAGATTTACAGTTTCGCATTAAAAGAAAGTGGCAAAGCTTAGGTGATACTAAACTAATAGACTTTCAAATTCGCAAAAATCCGTCATTCGATCTAGTGTTGGGGCAAGATTGGTTATGGATGCGTGAAGCAAAAATAAGCTTTGGACATTCTTCCAAAACCTGTGTCCGCCATGCTAAAATTGTAATAGATGGTATAAGCATCCTGTTAATTGATGGGGATTTTAACAAAGCCAGCTACACTAAAAATAATTTATCTAAATCAACGGAATCTAAACCTGGTCTAACTCAAGAGGAGGTTATAAATATAATTAATAAAATTCTCTCAAATATCGAAGATAGACTTGAAGGGTCATTGTTTTGTAATAATAAGCAACGAAAGAAACGTCATGG